GTAGCCCACTAAGCTTATATATTGGACTTGAAACATATAATTTTTCGATGTGGGATTGGGTTTGCACACCCAACAGATTATTGTAATTTGCCTTTATTGCAACTGGCTCTGGTAATTAAAAAATGATGTATATTTTATAATTTTGTTATAATACATATTATCCTACACAAATGAAATAATTAATGGCTTAAGAATGTAATGAAACAATTGTTGAATTAACAAACATTTATGCTCTTACATCGATGATCTTGCCAATACAAGACAAAAGGTTGCTTCATTTTCATTTCAATTTTCAGCAAGATTGGGCAAAGTAATAATTTAGAGTATACAATAAAGACAAAATTGCATTTTTAGTCCTATTGGTTTAACGCAATAACATTTTTAGTTCCAAAATTTTAACTTTTTGTTTTTTTTTGATCCTGTAATTTAGCATTGTGCTGCAATTTCAATCATTTGGGGACTAAAATTGCAACAAAATTTAAAATTACAGGACTTAAATTGTTAATAAAAAATTTATTTCAAAAAATTTTTATTAGCAATTTAAGTCCTATAACTTAGGATTTTGTTTCAATTTTAGTCCTCAAATGACTGAAATTGCATTGAATTTTTAAATCATAGGACCAAATAACAAAATGTTCAAATCTTTGGACTAAAAACGCTACTCACTCAAACCAATAGGACTAAAATTGTAAGTTTTTGCCTAAGATAAACTTGTTCAATTTTTTTTTTTTTTTAAAGTAATCTTGCTCAAATGTTTCTGTGAACAGAATTTTTTTTTGAAATATACTATTATAATCTTATTTATTATAATCTTATTTTTGACAAAAGAGAGTTTTATTTTGAAAAATGTTATCTAATCATGAAACTATGAAATTGTGAAATAAAATATAGTACCAATCTTAAAATTATTAGAAAAGTTGCATAATTAAAACAACTACGTCAATAATAATATTTTTTTTTTCGGTAGCCAGCCACGGTATCCGAAGCTATGCCCCGACTAATTCGTTGGTTGACCTAGGTCGCACATCTGGCAGTGGTGGGTGAATCTCCCAACAAGGGTTTTCTGCATCCACAAGGACTCGAACCCGTGACTTTGTTTAAGCGGCATCAAGCTGCTTACCACTTGAGTTAACTCTTGTTTGTCAATAATAATATTTTAACAGTACGTACCCAATTCATTTTAATTACGTACGTAACATGTACATCTATATATATATTAAAGCGGAGCAGCTCAAAGAAAAACTTTTCCCGCCTAAACTATAATAAATACATGTCATTATTAGTGGTATTAATGCTGAAACAATCCACTCACATTTAAAAATGCTCTCTGAAATTAATGATTAAAATTGCACAAATTTAATTGAAAAATGTGAATTGAAGTTATTCCTTACGAATTTAAATTACGTAAAATGTGCCACTAATTCCCAAAATATAACCACAACTCATTAACCTTCAAAATATAAATGTATTTTGTTTTCCATTTCCACATTTATTTCAAAACATTCTACATACAATGTTTCTATCTTTTGAGAAGCCAAATTTATAGCATTTATATAATAGCTAAAGAAATAGTATAATCACAAATATATAGATAATCGATACATGTATCGTACTAGTAGTAGAAGTAATAATAATAATAATAATAATAATAATAATAATAATAATAATAATAATAATAATAATAATAATAATAATAATAATAATAATAATAATAAGTAGCATGAGAAAACAAAACTTGAGCCTAAACAATATACGAAAAATAGAATTATATTGTTCGGAAAAAAATAGTCCGTCGAATCTTATTGAATTTTCGTGTTCGATCTAATACTCAACCAAATTTCATACTTTTTTATATTGCTTTCTAATAAATTTAAAAAAGTTAAAACATAGACAGATACAATATAAAGTTATATTTCTCATAAATAATGTGATTTATTCGACTAAAAGGGAGATTTGAAAAATCAAGAAGTATAATCTACGGTATTGAGTACTAAGATAATGTTCCCCTTGT